GTATATATAGCCCTTGTGTTTCTTTGATCTTTGTGAGGTCTAAAGGCCCTTGCACACTGAGTCTGAAATTTTCGTATGCGTTTTTCGTATTCGTGATTCGGTGGCTCTGAATTGTCAAAACACCGTTCAAACTGCTTGCTACGGATGCGAAAAACGCAGAAAATCAAACCCGATTTGATTTTTTTTTTTTGACGGACGAAAGTTTCGGAGGCAGTGTGCAAGCGTGATTGACATAATTTGAGGTCGTATTTATTTTCTAACGCACGAAATTTCAGACGCGAATTTCGGACTAAGTGTGCAAGGGCCTTTAGGGTGTAAGAGTGTACCCATTTTGCATAAAATGTGTCCGAACTACATTTAAAACGGACTGAAGTTCATTCACTGTACAACTACACAGAATGTCCAAGTGTTTGGCTGATTCTGATGGTCTCATGCAGCCTGAAACTACACCTTCAAAACTGTGCATATGCTTCTGAAAGATGAAACTATTAGAAATGTGGGGCTGATGTTTATTTTTAGCAACATGCCTAAGCAATCGAACGAAACTGTTTATGCTTATTTGTCTCTACGTTGCTTTCTCGTTTGTGGAGTATTCTGTAAACAAAGTAATGTCTGCTATTAGATCCACTTCACCTCCGCTCGTCGTCTTCCTCTGACCAGACATTAGTCGAATTACACGACAGACTCTTCATTCTTTCTCAATAATTTCTTAATTATTCTCAAGAAGCTGCTGGTTTTTCTAAATATAGTGTATTAAAAGCTAAGGTAGTGTCAAATATTTTGTCCTCAGAGGCAATCGTTGTGATTGCATGCGTTCATTTTAATGTGACACGGGTTCACACATATACAGCTGTATTTAAGAGTTGGCCATCTCGAGCATCAAAACACACACGACACATGCTGTGGATGATGCAGTGAAGTTCACCAATCACAGCAGACAACTTTGTTATCTTCATAAGCCAACCTCCACATGCATAATATAGAGATAGAGACTGTCCATTCTCCCAGTCACAGCTAGAATCGATGATCTACAAACACCACTCTTCTGCTGTACCCTGGGAGAGCTGTGATTCGAGGACTTCTCTGTAGACATCCAACTTTCTGTTGGGCTGACAAGCACATCGGCTCTCACTGGAAGGAGATTAGCAACCTTAGATTGCAAAAGCTTGTTGTCCAGTGAATGAGTATTTGCAAGCACAATCTTCTGTCTGGGCTTTCATTGTCAGGATCCTGGCCTTGTCTGTCTTGTTCAATGTTTCGTTGTATTGTGCTTCAGCACATGGCTTTCTCTTTGTTTGTGTTGGCCATGTTCTCCTCTCATCCCACCTCCTTGTTTAGTCATCCGTTGGCCTAATCGTGTTGTAGGATTACAAATGTATTAAATGTTTAATTTAGGTTTCCACTAGCCTGGCAAGCCAGACCTACATCAAGATGTTATGTTTGGGAACTCACACTTGGCATACCTTAATTCGAGGGGCGGGAGAAACGGTTGTCTTTCAATATCCCTCGGCACGCAATAGGATAGCGCTACAACCAACCAGAGCAACGAACGGCTGTGGCTGAGTGAGTCCCACCAGTGAACCAGCTAGTTGGTATATTATTAAACTTTTGCCGTATCCGGTCGTCAAAACTCTGAACACATCTTCCTTTTTTAGGAATGACTTAAGTGACGTTCTCTTAACTCCAAGTCCTCCAGAGTCGCGGGCAAAGCCTATTCGAAAGACCACTGTTCGCCAGCAGCATCTTCTTTGTTTTCAAGCAGAGGGAAATCACCAATGGAAATCACACGGAACCGTCATAACTCTGCCGTCATTATGTTAAGCCCGCCCACCAACTCTACACGATCTGATTGGCCGGACCAGTTTTTGGTTTTTCCAGCTCAAAAGTCTATGGAGAGTTGCTAGACCACACTTTGCTGGAAAATAATTTTTGCTGCCACTAGGGTGCGTCTAGATTTCTAGGCTAGGTTTCCACTACAATAGTATATAAACTGATAAAGTTTAGTAGACTGATTTCAGATGGTTCTTGAGTCTCCAGCAAGAGTCTCCTTTCCTGCCAGTCCCGTTTTCTCCATTGTATTTTAAATTAATCAGATCAAGGAGATTCTCACCTCTCAGCCTAGATTGATTGGATTAGCTATAGGGGAGACTTCCACCTTTTGTCTTTAATGGCTCTGGGATGGCTCTTGGAACCAGGGTTCCTGGCCAGTATCAGCATTTGAATAAGTTATGCTGATTCAATTGGACTGATAGGGCTCTCAGAGTAGGGTGTGTTCCCACTTCATTTGCATGCTTTGTTTCAGAGTGACTCCACCTCTATGTAATTCCTCCCCCTTGTAAGCTATATGAACAGTCTGTATTTTAGTTTAGTCAGACGATGTTGGAATGACTACAGCTACCAGCAATAAAGAACTTCTGCTTGGAAAACGTCCATTGTCTCCTGGTCTCCTCAGCTTCTATCTTTTCGGCAAGGGAAAAGATTTCAACAGTGTTCACCTGTTCATCATGTGCTCTGCTCCCTTTATACTTGGCTCCTTTCCCTCATGTTTTGCTGGTTTATTGTGTGCTAGTTCCCTTCTTTTGTTTTATTTTTATCTTACAAATTCCAGTCATTTTTTTTTTGTATTTCTCTAGTCATAGTTCTTTGCCTGGTTTCATCTTCTTGCTTTATCTTGTTGTGTCTTGTCTTGTTTATTGTGAGTTAGTGATGGGAAACCGAGGCGTTCTGAAGCGTTTGAGGCTTTCATCAAACTGTGCTGAAAAACGGTTCATTCCTCGAAGCGTTTAACACAATGCGCATTAGCGACATCTGGTGGTCAGACTTGTTTTCTCCACCATATCTGACAAATCACGCAGAGGAGAAAAAGCACGTGACCAAACAAAGCTTCACATACAAAAGTGGAAGCAATCTGAGATCAATACAATTCTATCTTCTGATCTAATCTCATCTAAATTAATTTGATTCAATGAGACCACAACTCGTGTCATGTGTATATTAATATGAATATATGTGAATATATGATCACATAGGCTATAGGCTTTGAAAAAAAATTGTAAATGGACTTAAACTTACAAAAACCTGTAGAGTAGTGGTCTGGGTTCAAACATTCTGACACGCAAAGCGAAGCATTCACGAGACTGGACAGAAAGTGAGGCTTCGTTTCTCGTTGATCACGTGTTTCTCTGAAAACAACACGCGCTCCGGCACAAGCTTCAGGAGAAACTGCGCTGCGTACTCGATACGCGCTTTGAAGCTTCAGTGTCTAATGTAACATCACTACAGAGAGCTCCATTACTCTTTGTAAACAATGGGTCAGCATTGAGGAACTTCTGCAGTGTTAGTCAGCTGTAGACGACATCCAGCACGCACAAAAACAAGATTTAAAGACAAAAGTTAAGTTGAGTCAGAGCTTGCAATGCATTCGCCAATACGCATTATCATCGCCCTCCTGAGAAACCACTTCATTTTCAGGATTAAACCCCCACTGGAATCCATGTTCAGGTTGTGAATTTGAATTGAATTGAATGGACTGCTGTGATAATGAAGACAGAGAAGCATTCTGAAGAAGTAAGAAGCAAAACCAACGTGTAAATTGGAAAAGAGCGTCCCAGTGGACGCTGCTGACTCAATTAACACCAAGAGTAACTTCAGAAGAGGCCATGCCTCAAATCTCTGCAGGAACAGTGAGACTTGTGTTAGACGTGTCGACTCCAGATGTCAGCAGCTGAGGACTTTTGCCACATTATGTGATAGTGACCTAGATGTGACATGGGAAAGGACTGTGTTGAATGTTTGCAGATGAGACCAAGAAAACCTTCACCACAATTCAATGTGACATGAAGAGTAGCACTGTCCAAACCTTATTACACACCATCCCTGGGTGTTTCCAAAGCTTAAAATGCATTATTATGGCTTTAAAACTATGATAATCTAAGCAAAGTCATTTTATTCCAAGACAAATTCAATTGCCGCTTGTCATATGTGGTGGAAATAATGTCACACACAAAGACATAATCTTCTGTGATGCACGTCCACTGTTGGACACTGCCAGAACACACATTTAAAGGTTTAAAAGAGGTAATTGTCTGAAAGTTCACAGGGCCAGTCGTGCCTTGGAAACACTTTTCCAAATTCCTAATGGTCTTAAAATATGCTTTGTTTTCTTGAACCGATTTTGGGGCCAAAAATGAGCCTTGAGATGTTTGGTAACTAAGAATTGACGATGATATTAAACAGATACAACAAGAGAACATGTTTGCATCAGTTCATAAAACTGACATTACTCGAAAGTTGTGGGGCATAAATATCATATCAATAATGAGAATGACCTGCAGCACATGTCCGGAAGAATGAGCCAAACTCACAGGTGAAGAACATACTCCAAAATATTCACATCTGCTATTCTGGCAAAGCATCGCGTTCAGAAGTACAATAATGTGTATAGATATCATTTTGTAGGGTCAAATGTAAAATGAGAGTATTCATTTCCTAATACTCATTGTATTAGCTCAAGTTCATAAAGTGTATGGGTAACACTTTACAGTAAAGTTCATTGGTTAACATGAACTAAGAATGAACAATAATTCTTCTGCATTTATTAATCTTAGTTCATATTCATTTCAACATTTACATTATTAAAATCAAAGGTTGTATTTGTTAACATTAGTTAATGCACTGTGAACTGACATGAACATACAATGAACAGCTGGATTTGTATTAACTAACATTAACAAAGATTAATAAATAGTTACATATGCATTGTTCATTATTAGTTCATGTTAGTTAATGCATTAACTAATGTTAACTAATTAACTTTGATGTAAAGTGTTACCAATTTATGTCATACAATAAAAATAAGGGAAAACATGCATAAAAAGAAAGTCTACAATGAGTATGAATTGACAATCTATATGACAAAACAACTTTTCATTGATTTTTATGCCATGCAGTAAGACACACACACACACACACACACACACACACACACACACAGATTTTACCTGCAAATGCTGGTCTCATAGTGAAGTCATGGTCATCAACACGCAGCAGATGGTCTGATCTCAGCTGATGTGTCTTGGTTTCATCCAACGTCTTCTTGAAAAGTGGACTGCAAAAGAACATCTCGGGACTTCAGTGCGAGCTCATAGACACGCCTCAGTGAGTAACTACGCCATCATGAAGTCCATGACATGAACGGAGACACAACACACACAGGCAAAAACGGTGGTCACCTATTCAACAACCCGTCCTCAGGTTTTCAGGCTAAAATGACCTATTTAACAGTAATAAAATAAAGATCTAGAATTAAGTACAGTCAAAGTTTATTATTTTTATATGCACACTAGTATATATTAGCAGTGATTTTAATCATAATAAGTATTTTAATTTTGAATGGGAAATATTATTATTATTAAGAGATTATCAAGCAACATAGTATTTTGACATTAATTAAGTCAATTATTGTCTGTAAAATGTTTGTTCCTGACTTTTGGTGTCCAGATGCTATAAGACTAGTGAAAATATAGGGCTAGTGGTGTTAGTTATGAATATTTCTCAAGGTTTGCTTTTTTATAAACATACACTATCTTAAAGTATTGACTAAAAAAATCCAGAAGAAAACAGTTTAACTGATTTGGTTGTCATGATATAGCCTAGTTTTCACAACAGGAAAGCTGATAAATTGCCTGTAAAACAGTTTGATGCAGAAAATGATGTGAAAATGAAATGAAGTGTTTATGAAAGAGCAAAAATATAAAAGGACACATCAAAAATGTATTTATTCAGCCAGCACAAGTAGTAATTAGTCTTATATATTTAATTAAAGACCAACATGTATGATAAATACTCCCAACATATAAAAACACAAGCATTTCGTACACAAACTCGTGTAGTTACTGAAGTAATTATGACAACTAGCACAGCTCCCAACTTATTTTAAGCAACCTGTAAATAATAGTTTGCCCTGATGTTGTCCTCTATGCTCACTAGACCCCGAGCTTATGTGGAAACTGAAATAATAAGTTGAAACGACACTTACGTTCCGTGATTGTGATGTTGTGCAGATGTTCTCCTGCCGCCGAGCTTCGTCTTCCCGCACACACTCACGCACAGCAGAAGAAAAGCCGCGTTCATAGTGAAGGAGAGGTCAGACAGCACCCGCGCTGGAGCACATCTTCAGGCACAGCCGGTCCCGCACAATGATGCACTGAGTCACGCGTCGCGTTGCTGAACGCGCGCGCTGATTGGCCGCGCGCACATCGCGATTACATCGATTCGTCGAGTCGCTTCAGTTACACACGAACACAGCAGAAATGCTGGCGTTGGAAAAGAGCGCACTGTTGTCGAGATGTAGCTAACTTGTTTTAAAAGATGAGCTATTTAACTAGAGACATCGTCTTAAAAAGCTAGGCCGCACTCAGCGACTAACAGCGCACAGTGATCAACTATTCAAAAAAGATGTATGCCCACATCAGCTGTTCAGGCGCACGAAGTTCTAGCCATTTTTTTTTTAATATTGACTTATATGTAAATGAAATGTTCGATATTATTCTGAATTTGCTGTGAATACTAAATTAATGTTGAACATTATTCGCTTTTGTTAAGTTCTACCGAGTAGAGAAAAATATTCTCGTTTTTCACAAGAAAGTAAAACAAATACATACTTCCAATATTGCCATAAATTAGACACTGTGCACATTTTGTGAAATATTTTCTAAGTACAAATTCAGTGAAGTGCCTCAGGGAAATGACCAAATGCTTAGTGTACGATAGAAATAAGGCTTTATTTTATGATAAAAATTATTTAAAATGCAATTTTGTATTCATTATAATGGACATACCAAAGTATTGTGAAAAGCTTTTAACATTTCATTTTGGTGAACCACCACTTTAAAAAAAGTCTGGGGGACTGAAATATGACCAAATCCCAGGAATAATTCCCATACTACAATTTGCATCATTTCATAGTTTTGATGACTTTTCTGTTATTCTATAATGTGTGAAGTAGTAGAGAGAACGAGTTAAACTTCTGCTAGTGTGACCGTATTCGTTCATCAGAACGCCAGTACTCGAAATAAGTTCAGTTCTCCTGCTGAAGATTACTCAAGGAATAGAGGACAAACGGATCTGAATCTCTGATTACTTTAAATATTTTAATGATCTGTGTTTAACAGCAGAAGACATCAATCACAATGCCCCACATTAAATCAAAGCCTTAATACAGTGTGTTGATATAATATACAAATGCTGTAATACAATCTCACACTTAAAATCAAACTATTCTGCACATATTGATATATGGAGTAAATAGAAACATGAAAATAATAATTCAAATGCTAGATTCGGTTCTTGTGCCGCCACAGTTCTAGTGTGTTCTTGGTCGCCAACCAGCTGAAAGTCTTACACACAGTCTTATCCTGCATGTCAATAACATTAATGCTGCAGGTTGACCGCCTACTTTAATATCATCACTTCAATGCAAAGTACTTTAAAACCTACAAGACAGAGTGAAGAGAGCAAACAGTTATGGATCAGTCAGGTTTATTGGTTAAAGAAAACTATTGGCTGTTGCTAAAGGAAGTGAAAAACAGATGATGTTTTAGATGTCTACGACATAAGGGCAGCGTAGCTTTTGTCCACACCATTAATCCATGTACTATGTATAAACTCATATACCGAGTTATAGATATATTAGTAAAAAATAAAAACATCATTTTGACTGCTTGAATGTTTTCAGAAAATTAGCAGACCAACCAGAGAGGCTCATCTATCCAAGTGCAAACGTTGTGTGTTTTTTTTTTTTTTTTACAGTTTAAAAGCAAAATATACAATATTACAACCATGCCTACATTATTTTAGTGCGTAAATGTCCGATTCCGAGACAGACGTACAACATTTCAGAAGCGGACTGCAAATTCTCGAGTCGTTGGTTTCTTCCAGTCTAAGACCAGATTTTGCACATTGGTACTTGTAACTTTTGAAATGCATTATTTAGGAAACAGCAGTCTCAAACCATCAAACCCTCAAAATATTGCAGGATTTGTATGAAACAACTTGAAAACATGCCATATTTCACCCCAAAAATGTTTTTTTATTATTAATTATATTGAACAAAACAGGAATAGTACCCAGTTCTTATAATACATCATGTGATATTTTTCAAGTTACAGTAATGTGTCCAGATGCTCTGCCCAGACACAATTATATATATTTTTAAATAAAATTTTCCAACATTAAAAGGCAGTACAATAATTACCACCATGATGCATAAATACTTTACAGGTAAAACAGCTAGGGGCCAATTGTAACATCAGAAACGGTCTTCTCTTTATGTAAAATATAAATGTGTCATTTTTAGGGGTGAAATCTATGCAAGCTTGTTTCTGCCACTGAATGAAATGCATAAAAAAAGCTAAATGTGACTTTTTATCTCACAGAAGTTATAAAGTGACAATTGTGGGATTGCAGCTCACAATTCTGACTTATATCTCACAATTCGGAGAAATAAAAATAATATTGAGTTTATATCTCGCAATTCTGACCTTCTTGTTTAGAATTGCGAGATATAAACTAGCAATTCCTAGAAAAAATATTTGAATTTTGAGATTGCAATCATCTTTTTTATTCTGTGGCGAAAACAAACTTCCATTGACATGTTCTTGACATTGCTTACTGAGATTGCTCTGATACACCCAGAAATCTTGTCCAGGAAGAGGACACACACACACACACCCCGTCTGTTGGATCTGGACGAGGACAGGACAGAAAGAGTTCACAGCTCGTAATCAAACTTGTACTCGTGGGCCAAGTAGATCCTGCGGAAAATGAGCGCCGCGAGCGCGAGTGTGAGGAGCACTATGAGGACGGCGCAGCCCGTGTGACTGGGGTCCTGCTGCGGGTGCGGGGGGGCGGGGGAGGCCGTGAACGTGGGGTATCTCGGGCTCTGGGTCTGCGAGCGCCGCTGACGAGGACTCGGAGCCGCTGAAACGGATGGACCCTCGCTTGATGTCTGAGCAGCCACGAATGAGGATTCAGTCTAGACCAGAAGAGAGAGAGAGCAAAGATCATTACATGCACACTGGGAGCCGATGCTACTGAACAGAGGACACACACAATCATTGTGTTCACACTACAGCTTGAGGGCGTGTTCACACTTGTCGTTCGGTTTCGCTTGGTTCATTTGGTCCGGACCAACATTTCGTCCTGGTTCGCTTGGAGCTCACATTGTGACTTTAACACCGAACCCAAAGAAACATAGGGATATGTTCACAACCTGATTGGTTGGCTTTTATTCCTTATATTTCTTGATGTAACTTACTAAACATCCAAAACAGTGCTGTGTTCTGGGATAAATGTGCGTAGTAGGGGTGGAGCCGAACCCGAATACGGTATTCGGAAAGGCACAAATAACGTGTTTTTTACGAATACTTATTTCGAACAAATAGTTTAAAAAATATTTGTATTCGGGAACAAGAAAAACTTTATATCAAAAAGCTGCGTTTCCTCACGAGACCTCAGTGCATGCCCGGATGAGTGAGTGAGATAGAGTGAGTGAGTGACGTTCAGGAAGAGGTGACTGACACAGGCTGCTCCACACAGCAACAGACATCAAATTTACGCTGAGCGAAAAAACACTTAACTGCATCACTATTTTTGTTGAATAGATTTTTATACCTTAACTGGGTTCCGGAGGCAGTTTATAACTTTCAGGAAGCGGAGTTTGATCATGAGATTTTTCCATTACGCTGCATTATTGACGTTGTAGTACCCCAGAGTGCAGTCTGGACGATGGGGCGGGGCGACACTTTTAGGCGGGGCGACACGTGTCGCTCCGCCCACCCCCAATTTAATTGGTTTATAATACCGCAATCTTATTGGTGTAAACGATTCAGGTCTGAGCATGCGTATTCCTTTATGTACGATTTTGTGAATGATTTGGCCGTATCAAAGAAATATTAAATGCTAACTTTAATCGTATCTTATTATCAGTTTACCATGGTAATTTTTATTAATATCTATTGGCTAATACGTTATTATACTTAAGACACAGTATAGATTAAGTTATTGTTTAAAAACGAACGGTTGGTGACATTACTTGTACTTCAGGGAGATGTTTTACATTAGATTAGTGCGTCATTCACTTGGCTTCTTCATATTTCTATCAGGATCGGTGGATCAGCACAAACTCGGGATTTTACGCAAATGATGATAATTGACTGTAAGAATGTAAGCAGCTGATTTTAAATTCTAAAGCATGACCGTTTTTTTGTTATTTTTTTTTTAACGAGATTGTCCAATGCTTGCATTATTTGGTACAAAGTGCAAATAAAATGTTTAATGGCAAACACGTTTCCTGGTTGATTACCTGTTCATACAATATGAGGACCTATTGGTTCTGTAAAGCCCATGTTATATTTTTTAAAGATTCATGTTTTCTAATAAGTGTCAACCGGTTATGTACGACTGTCTATCTGTGACTGTGACATCAGTAGGCTATATTAAATAATCCGATTGTATATTCATCCACCATCGCATTGCGTGTTCATGTTCATGTAGGCTACTGGATAAAAATGGTTACAAATATTAACACTCACATATAGGCTAGCTGCATAACCATAAAAAAAACACACTGCTATAAATCTGTGCAATTATAATAGGCTGTAATAAAATAAATAAAACACCCAGCAGAGAAGTGATATGAACATGTAGGCCAATTGCTTAAATACGCTCTTGAGCACATAGCCTACATTATAATATTTGCTATAGATCAACATAACATCTGTTTTAGTAAAAAAAAAAAAAAAAAAAAACTTTTTTTTTAAATTAGTTTTCACATTGCAGCGTTGCACTTTTTATAGCGCTGGATTTTATTCCCATTGTACGCACATAACCCAATGGCCAGGGCTTGCTATTTGGTAGCCTGTCTTATTTGTCACCGTGGTTTTGCTTTAAAATAAAATAAAACACACTTTCGGATTTATCCTTTGTTTTACTGAAATACAGGGAATTATCATAATTTGTGTAAAATCCCGAGTTTGTGTTTATTCACTGATCCTAATGGAAAAACGAAGAAGCACGAATGATGTAAAATTAAGGAGCTCTGCATGACATGCGGAACAATATTGTCTAAATCAGCCCACATAGAAATGATCTCTCCTTTGATCTGCCAGTAATTTCATGCAGTCATGCTCATTGCCCACCAAAAGTGGCACTGACTTATCTGTAGGGTAAATTAATATAGTATAGCTAGGCTAAATCTCAAACAGTGTATTATTTATCAGCAACATATTTTGTGATATCGCCAAGCCATAAAACTGCTCAATATTAAAGCTTACAATATGACTTTTTGTAAAGCTGCTTTGAAACGATGTGAATTGTGAATACATTTTGACAGTAACTTCATCTAACTTGATTCGTAAGTTCATCAAAACATTATCCAATTGATCGTTACTGAAATCGCAATGGTTATCACTTAATATAGTACGGCCAAACAGCGTCATAGATAATTCATAAACTCGTACATAAAGGAATGCGCATGCTCGTGCCTCAAGCGTCTATGCCAATAAGATTGCGGTATTATAACCCAATAAAATCGGGTGTGGGCGGAGCGACACGTGTCGCCCCACCTAAAAGTGTCGCTCCGCCCCATCGTCCAGACTGCACTCTGGGGCTACTCTTGACGTCTGCAGTCGGGTGCTCTCATGTTCGCTCTGTTTACGTAGCTCTGTTAGCTCGGTTGTTTTTATTACATGGCTTGGTTGAATTCTAATGTAGAATGCGGTCTGTTATTTCTTGATAACACACCGCTGCTAAGTATAACACACCGTTGCCATGGATTCTAAACGTAGAGACGGAACGGACTATTTTCTTTAGCGGAAGCAATACAATCGTTTTTAAATCAATAAACTCCTTTTTAAATCAATATTTTGAGTCAAATTATTGATTTATTTGGTAGGTAGGCATGTAATAAGCGGGATAATGTATAGCGAGGCGGTTGTTATAACGAATACAACCCCTTCGGGCTGATTCAAGACCCCTCCGCTTCGCGTCGGGCTCATAATCAACCACCTCGCTATAAGTTACATTAACTCTTACTTATTCTGTCTGTTCAGCGTCCTCCAACAAGGACGGGTGGTGGTGGGGTTCATAATGTTCACAATGGTATTTTATTCGTTGTTGGTTTAACCATGGATGAGGTAATGGCTGTTATGTTATTTTCTATTCAATGATGTACTTGTTACATGTTCGTTGCTGGATTTATAGAAAAACATCAACGAATATTGCATATCCATAATTATTATAATGGATATAATTAAAGAATACTTACACTATAACGTAAATTAGAAGTGGAATGCAAAAAAAATGGATTTTTACGCCTATTTTGAATTTTACTCGAATACAAATACTTTTCCCCCTCAACAAATACAAATACAGATACAAATCCCGGCTGCTTTGCACACCCCTAGTGCGTAGCTACATATGATGGTATTTTGACCAGCTGAGAACTCGTGAAGAGCTTATAAAATGTGTAAATAAGTCAAAACAGCGTCAGGAATCCCTCTGTCACACACACACACAGATCTGCTGCGAGGAGACGCGGTTCTGATACCGAACTGTGATGGGCAACATCACGACTATGGTGAACAAAAACAGCATTCTGTCCTTTTAGGCCGTGTGTCCGAGCGCCCGGCGTTTTTACTGGTCGCCGAGAGTTGAAAAATGTTCAACTTTGGGTAAAACGCTGCGCTCATCACTGTCACTTTTTACCCAGCCGTCCAATCACAGTGGAGGAGGGGCGGGGCTAATACCACACCGACCAACTGTCACAACATTCTTTCTGTTCAACGACGTCAACCAGCAGAGCTAACCGAACAAAATGGATGAAAATAAGATTTTAGTATGAAACAAATTATCTGCGAAATCAGTTACAAGTAAACTGTGCTGTGGATATTCTGTATCATAGCAACGAAACGTCTCAACGGAAAAAACGCTGCGCTGCCAAAACGCTCTCAAGCGCTCATAGCTAGGCGTCTTCAGCAGAGCGTCTAGCGTCTTCAGCTGGCTAACGGTGGACACACGGCCTTAGGGTCACATCATGTCCCGTTTTTGGTTGGTTTACATGTCTTTGGTCTGTGTTGAGTTCATATTTCATTCGGACCGCACCAGAGTTCGTTTGGACCAAGACACGTGTTTTCAGCGTCTCGGTCCGCTTGTTTGGTTCAGACGGCAGCGTTCACACTTATTCAAATGAACCGCACTAACAGAGCAATCGCACCAGGGTTCGGTTTAATCCAACCAAACATGCCAAGTGTGAACACACCCGGAGTCATCAATAAAAATCATCACCAAGTATTTCCTGACCCTGCCCAGAAGCAGAAGGAGCAGTGAATGATGCGGTGTAAAGGGCCGAAATTTCCGCACGTAAAAAAATAAAGACGACCTCATGTTGTGTCAATCACCCCTTACACACTGCCTCCGAAACTTTCGTCCGTCATTAGAAAATTCAGATTTTCTGCGTTTTTCGCATCCGTAGCAAGCAGTTTGAATGGTGTTCTGACAACTCAGAATCACGAATAGGAAGATTTCAGACTCAGAGTGCAAGGACGTTAAGAGTGTGTGTTGTCCTGCACCTGCTCAGCTGAAGACGTGTCTTCTGTGTCTCTCTCTGGTGTAGATGAACTCTCACTGTCACTGAGAGCCGCCGCTGCCGCTGAACTGCCACTGTCCGCAGCCGACGAGCTCGACTCCGCCTGACGACACAATAAACCAATGAGAACTGGGCAGTTCATGGGCTTCATTCCTATGACAATTGTCACAATGAAAAACCCTTAATGGTCCTATTCTGTGGCTTAGGGCAAACTACAGGCAAAAAAGTGTTTATTTCATAAAATTTAAAAGTGCTTTATTGGCATGACTGTCCGTAATACAATATTGCCAAAGCCTGGACAACATGGAATAATAATAAAAGACATCAACATACTAAAATATTATAACATAACTTAAATTTAAATGTACAAATTAAGAGTGTAACAAGTTAGAATGTGTGTGAACATTATTATTAAAACTTATTTGATCACCGTCTGTAGATTTCAATTAGTCGTCACCTTTATTCCTGTAGCGCTTTATACTAAATTATTTTAAAACAGCTTCACAGTGATGAACTGGAAAATAACAATAAATGATGTAAACTTCCAAATCTGCTGTAAAGCAGCTCTAAAAAGACAATAGTGTCGTCATTCAGTTCAATGTTGATTCAGTTCAGTTCAATAACAGCGTCAATGTTGCAAAATTTGTCAATTATGAAACAAAGTCGAAAACAGTGATGTCATTGTCCAGCTCAATTCAGTTCAAAAGTTTTGTTCCCATTCAACAGAGTCAGTGCAGGCAAATCAATAATATTACAGAATATCAAGTATTTTTTAAACTCCTAAATACACATACACATCTTTAAAGGGCAGTTTCTCAACAAAAGTTTCAAATCTCCCCTTCAGCTGCATTTATTTTACTACATTTTATTCCTAGAAATATGGTGAGTTTATCCTCTCTGTTTACAGTATCTTCAGATTCATGGAGTGTGTCTAATATGTCAACAAAATGAAACAAGAATTTGAACCTGTTCAAATTTCTGTTCTGAAAATTGGTGCAAATTAGCACATATTTAATTACATAATGCCTCAATTCGCCTTTGGCTAAGCCACACCCTAGAGTGTAGATTGACCAATCACAGCGCAGCCAAGAACGAGCTCCCACAGTGGTCCGACACTTTTTCACAGCGCTCCATTGACTTTAACACAGGCGTCTCATATTTTTGGTCACGGCAGTCTGTTACCGTCGTAGTTTTATCAAAAATATGGTTAAACGTTGTGCCTGGGGCATTTGTAACACAGATACGCGTTTCCCAGAGAGGTTGGAGGGGGGTGTGCGTTTTTTTCCCTTCCCAAAACCGAAGTCAAATCCTGACAAGTGTCGTCTAGCACACGCTGCTAATAAATACAGCGTTATACTCGCGTAGTCCGTTTGCTTTGTAATAACGATTATAAAAGTGAATAGAGACCTACCCAGCTTTGCATGAACAGTGTTGTTTCTTGATATTGTGAGTCCCAGCCTCCGTCTCCATTAGTAGGATATGCGGTGGGTCATTTTTGTGACTGTGACCGGTATGCTTTTGCCTCTATTTGGATGCCTTGTTGTTCCTTGCGTTTCACCTGTATGTCGTGAATATAGCCTTCGAACGTATATTGCAGCCGCTTTTGCCTACTTCTATCGGACACTTTATTTGCTGCTTTATAAAAGTTTGATCAAATTTCAGCAGGAAGAGCTGTCACAGCATAAGCCATGTTGATACCAGAGCCCAGATGAAGTTTGTTTGTCGGACATAGCAACAGTAACTAATGGGGGCGGGGCTTAGCCAAAGGCGAATTGCATATTTAAACAACATTTAAGAAAACGTTCAATACAAATAAATGAAATTCTTAATGTAGTCAATCAACTGAGGAAGCATGGTGATGTCTAAACTTTTTACGCTGTTCACCCGAGGCGTAATACTGTGGATGAGAATATCCCATGTTGATGTTGAGTGTAATGAACAGGGAGTGTCACCTTGAAGCTGATCTGCTGGGCCAGTCTGTGTGCCTGAGGGTCGACAGGTCGAAGGTCGCCGTCCGGAGAGAGCGCTAGCAGAGCCGAGCGCATGCAGCTGCCGCAACCTTCACAGCAGAAATCCTGAGACCTGACAAACAAAACACACACATTTACAGAATATATTCCAACCGATTTATTTGTACATATTTATTTATTTTATTAAAAATGTGCGCTCGTAATCTTTAAACAAAATATCTTCCCCTCCCTCTTGCAGCATATCTTCTCTGTCACCTGTCACTCACATGAGATCCACCAATAGCAAACCACAACCATCCAATTCCCCACAGACAAAACCAAGCCCCGCCCACATTTGTTATCTGACACAATCGAGAAGACTATCACAATTTCCTTTTTATGCTCCTCACAACCATCCTTACACAACCTGAACCGGCTTAATCTTCATGTTGTCCTCCTGGAATATGATCATGATGCGTTTCATACATGGTTGTTTAAGAAATGAAGAGCTACACACTCCATCAATCAGTGTTAGAAGAACTGATGCCAAACATGCTGGAGACATCATAATCACAGCAATAATGATCCAGTCAGAGACTCTTCAGCATTTGCCCATTTAAACCCCAACAGTGACTTTCCCCCAGGGCAATGTAGTTTACAATACTAGCGTTTACAATACTAGCGTTTACAATACTAGCGTTTACAATACTAGCGTTTTTACAGTATTTTAAGACTCTTCCTGGTTCCAGACTTGTGACCGGTATTGCATTAGTAAATGCCGAAGGTTTGAAGGCAGACTGAATAACTGCTGTAAACCCCACAGATGCTGGGTGTTATCCTCATGAGCTGGCATGTGTGACGGGGGTGGACGTTTAATCAGCACGTGTTGATTGGAGAAACGTGGCCGAGAACAACAATCTGTCACATCTTCAGATGTATGTGTGTGTTTATAAAGGACACAGCATGTCCACACACGCTGAAATGAGGCCTCAGCTGGATGTATCAGATGACAACAACATCAATCACCCATTCTCCAAGCCGCTCGTCTTATGTCTGCGCTCACACTGTCACAGGGCTCCCACACATGATGACAACACCATGCTGCTTTATAGACATAGACCAGGTTTATAACTCTTACCGCCTGTTTGTTACGGTCACATTTTGGTTGTTGTATTTGCTCTCCACTTTCTCTCTCCATCATCATAACTCTCAGGTTGTCAATCGTCATTGTTCCACATATCGACACTCCTTTATGACCCAATGCGGACTACCCTGAATGTTTTTCTTTCGTTTTGTCTTATGTCTTAATTGGTGTTTGTTAGCCCTTCTGCTTGCTGTTTTTAGAAAAACAATAATTTTGGTGTGTGTTATTCACTTGGTTTTGTATTGTTAAATCAGCCAGTGAGTTAATATTTCACAAGACTTCCGTTACACAACACAGAGTTTGAGGTTGTATAAATACATCAGGTGAGGCGCATGTGTAACTCTGTGACTCTACTTGAGCATCCTGACACTGAAGATTGTTTATTTTCATTGTGCTGTTTTTTCTTTTTTCTCTATTATTTAGATTAGACCTTACCTGAAGGCGGAAGGGTTTTTCGTTTAGTCGTTTTCTTTGATTTAAAACCTCTCATAGCCCTCCTCTCCTGTGTGTTTTTCTTCTTCTGCAACTTGTATATGTATTGTAAATGATACAAGAATGCAAAAATCTATAATAATCGCCTCTGTTTGATTTATTTACACACACAAGCTTTTGGCAACTTTAGCAACCTTTCTTTTGCTCATTTAATTTAAATTCAACTTCAATGTTTTTATCCTTATGTTATATCCTCTAATAGCCCATTTAAAAAGTGGGCATAACACTGTTAATCGGTTAACTGTAATTTACCATATATGGTGAAAAACTGTAAATGGTATTATATGTCATTTTCCTGTACTGTAGTCAAATGTATGTTTTGCTTTTTGCAAGGAAAACCTATGAATTACCATATAATTTACGGTGAAAAAAGCAAAAAGACCTTCCTTCCCACAAGTCCCTGCCTGACATGTCACGTATGATTATGCACTTTGCATCAAGTATCGTGTGTGTAACCCTGATGGTGTGTATGACCCTGTGCACCGTATACACATGTTTTTATGAGATGAAAATAAAGAGGTAAAAGACCGACATCTTACTTTTTAGCGAGAGCTCTTCTCTCCTCAGGAGTGTAGTCCAGAGATCCTATCGCTCCTTCCCCTTTAGTCGGCATGAATCCAATGATCGCTATTAAAGCTGTCCGAACTGACACACAGAGAGAAACATACAGGTTAATGTTTGTGGGGTATTATTACAGATAAACAGATTGAGATTCACAAACAAATGTAAAGAGTTTAACAAACATTTATAAAACTTACAAATAAATAAAATTATATTTGCAAAGCATTTTTTTTTTACAAATGTGTTTTGTGTCTCAAACACAACTCTGCCTGGCTTTTATTTGTGCATCTCTTCCTGTGCATTTGTAAACCCCCTCACGCATCTGTCGATGTGCAGACAAATCCACAAATAAGTGACTCCACCCACCGTTTCCTCAAGCCAATCAGATAACGGCTACATTGAGCTGACCAATCGTAGCACGTTCTCGCTACTACCAATCACGTTAGGCTTTACGCTCGGGACGAATCCGATTCATTTTGCAGATATTTGCACCCCTGAAAGGAGCTGTAATGGTATGGAGCTAATAATATGACAAAATGATTTGAATTGTGTAAATTTGAATTATTTGCAAGTGTAATCTAACAAAATTGAATTTTAGGTGGTAGTTTAAATAGTCCTGAATTTGATTTTTTTTTTACGAATATTGAACATTTGAAATTTAACAAATTGAAAGGTTTTTATGGCTGAATTTTATAGACATGTATTTTCAAACAGCTAGTTTTTTTGTTCTGAATTCAAATACTGCAAATATTCAGTTAAAAAAAATACAGATTCAAGTTTTCAAGATGAAGAAATTCGGAACTTCAAATTCAGTTTTCTAAAATTCAATCTCAAAAATTCAAACTCAAAAATTCAGGTCTTACAGAAAGTAGGTCACAGGTCATCCACAGGGAAGAGTAGATGATCTCAGAAAAGTCGAACAGAGCATTTTGGTCCATTAGGGACTGCAGAAGGTTTCTTAAACATGAATGATTTTGTGTTTATATGTTAACGTAGCGTTCTCATCACGTGAGACATTTGTCTAAGCAGTCTCTGGTGTTTGTTTTAAAGTATATTTTGTGTAAAATTGATTAGAACGCCACCGTGTCACCTACATAGACAGGACGCGAGCGGCTCGACGCAACACAGTGCTTGAAGTGACTGTTGCAATGGTCACAAATAGGATGGGGAATCCGTGTGCTGTTGGGGATTTCACGGGTCGCGTCGCTCCGCTCGCGTCCGGTCTAGACTGCGTCGTACATGTAGTAAGCATAAGGTACCAGTGTGAATTAGCCATTAAATGTCTTACAATAAGCCTACCTACCTAATGCAATTGTCCTTCAATATTAAAGTCTTCTCTACTGATTGATGACTTACTCAGTAATAAAGACGGTCTTTGCCGTCCATGGGAACGCGTTGTTCCCATAACAGAGATGTACGCGCCGTTTCTCTGGCATTTCCAAAGGCTCATACAAATGTGTCTTGGCTTGATACACAGTATAATGGTCTAACTCTAACGAAAACCACATTTTAAACATTTAACTGAGGCAATATTATGGGCTTTTTAGCCTTACACTTCCTATTTGAGCCAATGCAGATGAATGAGCAAAGTTATTTCAGGGCAAGACCGCCCTATTGGTTGTAGCGAGAAGGTGCTACGATTGGTCAGCTCAATGTGGCCGTTATCTGATTGGCTTGAGGCAACGGTGGGTGGAGTCACTTATTTGTGGATTTGTGTTTCAAAATCCACAGATGCGTGAGGGGATTCACAAATAAATGCCAGGCAGAGTTGTGTTTGGGACATAAAACACATTTGTAAATATACATTTTTTTAATGGCAAATCTCATTTTATTTATTCGAGAGTTTTATAAAAGAATTAAACTCTACATTTATTTGTGGATCTTAATCTATTTATTTGTGAATTTGATACATTTCTTGTGAATCTCTTTATACATATGAGAATTTATGAGAGTTTGTGAAATATATATATATATATATATATAGCAATGGCTATTCAGTTTTTTTATACAGATATACAGATGTGTCCCACAGCAGCAAGTGGATTCATTTCATGTCTGGGTCATTTTTTATTTTGCATATAGAAAATTAAGGCTGTTTTAATTAAATAATATAACAAATAATAAACAATGGTGTGTATATATATATATATATATATATATATATATATATATATATATATGGCTATTCAGTTTTTTAGAGGTGGTATAAACGCAATTCATGAAGACACTCACTACTCCATGACGGCTGCCACGTCTCTGGATGGTGACCGGAAATACTCAGACAGATCTTCTTCCCAACCTCAAACCTCCCATTGGCCTGAGGATGAGAGGAACGTTTTTATTCATTACAAGAGAAACACAACAGAAGAACGGTTAGGGGAAGAGGAAGTCAGTAGATCATATTAAGGAGGACACAGAAACGAGCATTGTTAATTTATCCACGTATTAATATCTTCAAGTTAATAGAGTTTTTTAGATGGATGCCGAGGCTTTTTAGGTAGGGGTAGAATCTGCGATCTCTGACCCAGTGTGTTCAGAGACACTAACTGGAAGTGGGCGGAGTCACACAGACCGAAACAAAAACAGACATTCTGACACTGAACGCACATTTCAAGGTAGAATAACTGGCAGTAGAAGAGTTTTTCAGAGAAACGAGTGTGAACGCAGCATGTTTCCTAAATATCTGCAAACATAAGTGATAAAAAGCAGGTGGAAACATTTTACAAAAGACAAATACTCGTGCAACGCTTTAAGTTTTACTACCAAATTCTATGTAATATCATCTAATTAATCTTATACTGAAAAAATAGAGATTTTGACACACAGTTCATGTCAGATTTTGTGAGTAAGCAAATATCTGTCTATATGAGCAGGAATCAAAAGTCTGTAATCTTCATTCAAAAAGAGAAACCGAAACTAGGACTGCAGAAAGAAACTGTAAACAAAGCAGTGCTTGCTTATTATTTTGAACATAAATTTCTTCTTTCCAGGCGGCTCATGTTATTATGAAAATATTTGAGCGCTGGAATGCGTAGGTAAGATGATGTAAAAAGGTAACAGCCTTCTGTCTGTGCCGTCCTGACTTCTTTACTCGCTTTCATCACTTTTATTCTTGTGCACTGAATCTAAAAACTAGCCCGACAGACTTGGTGTGTCACGGCCCTATAAGACCCGAGTCATGAGTGACTTTTGCTCACACAATGCATGTACACAATAGAAATTAGTGGAGCCTGTTTTAGTGTGATTTCGTTGTAAAAGCTAAAACATTTCTTTCAAGGCACCTGTACATGCAATAGCAGCAGAAGACATGATAATTCAGGAATCATTCATGAAAACGAGTGTGATGCAAATCATTGGGTTCCAGTACATCTCGATTTTCAAGCCTAGGTGAGATATGTGGAGGACTGTGTAGGATTCGAAGAGAGGCATTAGGGTTAAGAAGTAGATGAGTCTTGTCTTACGGTGAGCAGAATGATGCTGGGGGGCTTCATGGGGTATTCGGGGGGCAGCACGATCCGACCGTGATAAACTCCACCATCGAAATCAGAGTCTGGAGGTCCTCTGACGGAGAAGTGCCACTCAAACAGGTTATCCTGATCAACACATGAGAGTCATGTCACACACTGAAGGTCACAGAGTAAAGCAACAGCATGGTGTACCATATACCCAGTAATAACATAACCTTGGGTTCATGTAAAGCCTCAGATAAAACCAAAGCTCCACCCATATTTCTTAAAGGGGTCCTATTATGCTTTTTTTTTTTTTTCATGTTCATCTTTTTTTAGTGTGTAAAGTTGCCGTTTGCTCATGAAAAAGGTCTGTAAAGTTACAAAGCCACTTCGAAAGGAGTTATTCACTATATCAGTGCGCACTAAAGCTGCACGATTAACCCTTAAAAGGACTGCGATCTTGATTGCGACCCCGTGAAAACCACAGCGAACATGAAGATGAGCGTTTGAATCTGCCGCTGAGCCAGAGAGAGAGCGGTCGTCATGTATAGGAATAAAACAGCTTCACAAACAGTCTTTTCAAACACACAATATCGCTATTTCTTTGTTGCAAATATTCACAGTATCACAGAAGTGCTGAGATAAAAGTTTATAGTTTGAATATAAACACTGATGTCTACGGAAGCAATCAAAATTGAGCAAATCACCGTTTGAAAGTAACTTGGCACTTAAAATAAAGATTCTGCAACAACGTAAACGTAAATTATAAGAAGAAAAAATAGTAAAATATATATATATATTTTGTATTAAAGTATTTTGAACATTAAATGATGTAAACATTCCAGTAGACCCCAAAAACTAGGGAGATGTATACAACGGCTAGTTCTGCTACTAGATGCTGATTGGTCATTAGCATTTAATCATTTAGCAGACGCTTTTATCCAAAGCAACTTACAAATGAGGAAATGAGGAGGTCATTAACAGATATGCTAAAAGCATATCATAACTCTAACAAACTAGCAAAATAGATTATAATTAGACACAAAAACTATATTATTATATAATAATAAAAAAAATCTAAAATGTAATTAATAATTGAATTATAATGATCAAACTAGACATGTCTGACCTCCAGTGGCTGAGCATGATAATGCTGGGTCGGGTCCCGGAGTTCAGCGGCCTCTTTCATCAACCTCTTCACAGCTGATGAACACAAGAACACACACGTGTCATTGAGCTGCGGTCTTATGTCAATATCTGCAACAACATTTCTTAAAATGACACGTGCTTATTGAAATCCCACAGAATTACTGTCATAGACTGCAATATCAGAGAGACTCGATGGTGAACCCTTTGACTTCAGATTGTAAGGAAACACCTAGCAACCTCACCGCGTCCCAGGAGACCCAAGCCTTAATAATTAGCTAAACAAAGCATGTACAAAAAAAAAAAAAAGCATAGCAATTTGGCTATAGTGAAATTATTGCAGGACAAAACGTCTGTGTGTGTGTGTACAACAAAACAACAAAAATAGCTTAGAAACAGGCAAAGATTTACATGCTACTGCAGTCTTCAACTGATTCGTGAAATATAAAAAACTGTGAAATTACTAAATGTATATCATAAAAAAGTATAAATGTAAAAAATGTGCTGAAAAGGTAGGCAACACATCATGTTATTTCACTCATTAGTGATATAAATACATCTCAATGTTTGAATCTAAGGAGGATATTCTTGTTAACTTATGTACAAGTTCTTTACTTGTAAACAACTGTTGTTCTGTTTCACCCGTGTACAAATGAGTAACACTTACTAGAGTAATTACTAGAGTAATTATGCAACTAACTAAACCCTAATCCTAAAGATCACGCAGTTAATTAATATTACTCCGTACTTAAATGTATAATTACAATGTAACATGGACACCTTAAAATAAAGGGCAACCAATAAAATGTGTGATTTGATTATTATTAATAGTAATCGCTTGACAAAATAATCATATATTACTCCAGTGCCAAACTGAACAAATCTTTTACAATTACTGTATTAATGCTAGCTGGTTGCTTACCAATATATGTATTATAACTTAAGTGGTGGTAAGTTACTGGTAGTACCCTGGTACTAATGATATATACCATTACATTGCACTATAACCATATTCATTCATGTAGTTACATGGCATGCTAGTTTGTAATGTTTGCTCGACGCATTCCAGCTCAGAATGAGATGAACTGTATTGACACACTTACTTAACGAGCTAATCCAGCTAACGTTAGCTCATGACATGTAACGTTAAGGGCTGAATGTGTGTATAACGCCTTTACAGAGCACATAACTCCAGCCATTAAATTTAATATCGATGATGTAGAAAAGATGCGATAACATACCTGGACTCTTCAAGTTATATTTGCTCTCCATGACGGAACAAACCTCGCGCTAGGCTGGTATTTTCCGTTTAGGTTATTTGGTGTGTGTTTGTGTGTGTATGTGTGTCTCTTGGGATTTCGGCCAGGTGTTTATCTTGAGCTGTAATCCTGACGTGGCAGCACTGAAGTTTCTTGCTACTTTCGAGATGAATTTTCTCAGATGTCACAGGACATAAAAAAATGAAAACAGGAAGTAAAATTAGCGTTTGAATGGCGGAACTTTATTGATGCGCTTCACACGAACAGCGCTATGTGACGTCAGCCGCCATAGCGAGTTCTCAGATAAATGTATTTTTTTAAAGAGTATGTTTGACGCCATACATCAGCAAATTATACATTTTGTAAAAGGATGTGATACTTCTGATCCAATATGTGTTACATGTTTATTGGAGATATTGACACACAATTGTAGACTGCTATGAATATTATAACAGGTGAAACAGAAACCAATACACCTATCTTATTGTGAATAAATGTTTAAAATAGAAACTGAACTAAAACGTGGAGAATTTGGGAAAAATACTGTTTAAATAATAAAGTAAAAAAGGATACATTTAAAGGGGCACTTGGCAACTCTAGTCATTTCTTCGCTGATTTTCCCTTTTGTTGTCGCATGTTTTCTCATCGAGCTCCCCCTACAGCTGTGCGGCGTATATTTTCACAACACTGTCATAAAAAACTCACTTGCGGCACCTTCCTCCCGCTTTCTCCCGCGGCTCATGTGCATTTGTTATTATCGGAGCCGGCCAACTTTATCGTGTGGAGCTGTGTCTACCGAGTGGGTAATACATCCTACACAGTATCATAGAATTATGTTGAATTGCCATAAAGCAGTTCGTGTTTCTCGGTCGTTCTCGGTCGTTCTCGCTTCTCACGAGACTAATATTTCGTTAGTCCCCATGTTGCAAGGTTGGTTTCCGCATGGGGACGCTGGGGGGAGCGGGGAAAGTCACCATTCTCTCCAGAACAGGTTATTGAACCATTCAAATGATTTCTAAACGGTTTTATTAAGTTAAAATAGTTGCCAAGTGCCCCTTTAAAATGTTATGGTAAGACCACAGGCGTAATTTCCTTTGGGGGCAGGGACATGTCGGACAGAAAGAGAGACGGACAGGGACAAAAACTATGGAATTACATTTGTGCCAATAATAATGAACGTAAGTTCGTTTTAATACACTGCATGTTTTGCTAACTGTTTTCACATCTTTCTTTCGCTGATCTGAACTTACAAATGCGCTCCCATAGTTTTAATTTACGCTTTGAAGTTTTCATTTACGCTCCCTGAGTTTTCGTTCGCCAATCTGGCACATATCTCTCGTGGAGGCGGGGCTAGCAGCAGTGTGTTCTCATTTGCTACTGAGTTTTTGATTGACAGCTTCTTGACCTGGAAGAGAAGATGTTACATGTTGATTTACGTGTGTGGATGTAAGCGTCTGTAAGCACAGCTTTCTATTTCATTTTAGTGATATTAAGCCTGGAACACACCAAGCCGACGGTCGGCCGTCGGGCAGTTTTTGTGCGTCGGCCGACTGAGTTTCCTCGGTGTGTTCCGCACGGTTCCGTGCCGTCGGCTGAAATTGGTCCTCGTCGGCTTTGTTTCGGCCGATTCGACATGTTGAATCGGCGTCGGGCCGTCGGTGAAAGAGGGAACTCTGATTGGCTGTTCAGCTTAGTGAAAGAGTCATGCACGAGAATAATAGCAAAACAGCGAGCAAAGAAGTCAAAACTCTACAGATATAAGGCTGTTCTTATGTTACGTCATCTTACCTGGGTGTTCCTTGGCGAATATTTCAATATTAACACGAGCGGAGTGGAATAAAGAAAGTGTTTAGCAGGATTGATATTTAAAACGGTAAGCACGCACTGCTTTGTTTATGGTTTGTGTATCTGCCGCCGGCAGCGTCGGTTTGCCCTTTTTGAATGACGAATATAAAGAATATATCTGCAGAAATAGACAGTTGTCTCATTTACACACTCATTTCTAGCTAACAGTCGGCTGTAGTTCTCTCGGTGTGTTCAAGTGCAGCTTTTTACCCCGACGAGAAGCGACGAGAGGCGACAACACAGTCGGCTTTCATCGGCGCTAGTTCGTCGGTGTCGGCTTGGTGTGTTCCAGGCTTTAAAGGTGCTATATGTAACTTTTCTTCTAAAATGAATCCTTTTTTTATTGCCTGTGTGTTAAGGGGTTGTAATCACACATTACAATGATCCACTTGTCGGGTTTTGCTATTACCTCTGAACATGCGCGTAATTTGCACGGGGGTTACGGGGGTAATAACCCCCTCAAAAATCAGATCCAGCGAATATAAGACCCCCCCCCCCCCCAATATCATCACATAATTCAGATTAAAATAAATCTGAAATATTCCGAATGAATACTTTTGTTCGTTTTCTATATTAAATTCATTTGCCAGCAAGAAAGATAATATCATATTTTAAATAATCTGTAATGTACCCCCCCGCCCACCGCACCGACTACTTGGTATTACCCAACCCGCTTTCTCTACCAAGTAGGGATGGGCATCGTTGAGAAATTATCTATATCGATGCCATTGTCGAGTCTGCTTATCGATGCGATTCCTTATCGATTCCCATATCGATTCCTGTACCATTTGCTGAACACTTACAGGGTGGCTTTGAGAGTTGTTGGCTTTGAATGTCTAATTTAAAGTGATTTTAGAGAATGAAAACCAAGTGTGCAATATCTAGCCCTATGAAATCAGTTTTATTTTTTCCCAAATTCCGTTTTTTCCGTTTTAATTTTTGGGAATTCATTTTTTTTACCCTTTACTGTTATTTTAGTCATAAAAAGAGTGTGCTTTTAAAGTTAATGATTAAAATGTATACAAATAAAATAGGAATGACCTTAAATTACTGACATTTACTGAGTAGCCTTTTCAGGACAAATATTGCATGATGCCACATGACACTGCACTCTTCAAGTAACAACAAAATATGGTTATAGCTTTAAACTGTCCAGTAAAATAAATTATATTAGTTTATATAAGTTTAAATAAAAGTCACACTCTGTCTCTCTCTCGCCCAGTGTCGCTCGCGGAGTTCGCTTCGCTTTTGTCCAGTCCGGCGCCTCATAGACAGACGCGGTGTGTGTGTGTGCACGTGTATGTGAGAAAGACGCGTGAGTGACAGAGACGGAGGGAGAGCGGGGAAAGGAAATACAACGGAAAGAATACGCTGCTTGTTTTAAATAGCATAAAAAAAAGAACGAAACGCAATATGTGGCGGCCGGAGTTGATTTTGTGGCCGCGAATTAGTCTATGTGTGGGAAACACTGCATAAAAGTCACGTGCGAACTGCTCGGCTCGGTACAGAGGGCTTAGCGTCGAGTTTCTTAACTTTTTCGCCGAGGAAAGCAGAGCCGTGGAGAGCCGCTTCGCCATGCCTTCATTGTTTTGATGCCGTCATTGGAGCTGAAATGACGGGAGGGGTTGTGTCGCCCAGATTTGCTTCCCCCGGTCTGCATTTAAAATGAAGCCACACACTCTCGATCATTTACGTAGCCATCGCGCTTTTGGGGGATTTAAAAATCCAGTCGCATATTGTAACGTCATGCCGCGACGCGGGAATGGATGGAACGGAACATTCGGAATCGTTAGTGGAATCGTTAACGTCTGGACGTGTACGATTCCGATGGATCGGAACCACTGGCGTAGCCACGGGTGTGCCAGGGTGTGCCGGTGCCACCCACAGCAATAGTATCTGTCTGCAGTCTGCACGACTTCAAGTTACGCCCCTTCAAGTTACGCCCACTTTAGCAAGACTTCAAGTTACGCCCACTTTAGCAAGACTTCAAGTTACGCCCACGTTTAGTCACGCCCCTTCGAGTTACGCCCACTTTTAGTCACGCCCCTTCGAGTTACGCCCACTTTTAGTCACGCCCCTTCGAGTTACGCCCACTTTTAGTCACGCCCCTTCGAGTTACGCCCACTTTTAGTCACGCCCCTTCGAGTTACGCCCACGTTTAGTCACGCCCCTTCGAGTTACGCCCACTTTTAGTCACGCCCCTTCGAGTTACGCCCACTTTAGTCACGCCCCTTCGAGTTACGCCCACTTTTAGTCACGCCCCTTCGAGTTACGCCCACGTTTAGTCACGCCCCTTCGAGTTACGCCCACTTTTAGTCACGCCCCTTCGAGTTACGCCCACTTATAGTCACGCCCCTTCGAGTTACGCCCACTTTTAGTCACGCCCCTTCGAGTTACGCCCACTTTTAGTCACGCCCCTTCGAGTTACGCCCACTTTTAGTCACGCCCCTTCAAGTTACGCCTACTTCCAAATTACCGCGAGAACAGTTCCATTTGCTCTCGCACGAGTTTAACATAAACGAGAACAGTTAATCACCTCCAGAACAGTTTCATATGCTCTCGCAGGAGTTTAACACAACAAAAACCTCTGAGATGATATCTTCAAAATTCTTGTTTTGTCTGTATACAGCAAAGCAAGTTGCAATCTGCATTAGCACCAATGTATTGATAATGTATTGCTAATGTATTGCTAGAAACCATACTGCAATGTATTGTTTTTTTTAAATAAATATTTTTAAACATATTTCCATGTCGTATTGTATGCCTGATGTGCTGACAATTAATTTTTGACAACACTAATTAACAGTTAAATACACCGCTGTCAAACACATGTTATGATACTTTGAGACAAATTAACTACAAGCACAGTCATCACAAAAACTTTTATTGAAGGACAACAAGGGTTTATGCAAACACAACCTATAAGTTCTGAACTTCTGAGAAATCAGACCGTGCCTCCAGCCGCAAAAAAACAGTCCATGCTGCAGTATCCTGCAAAGTCATTTTCACAGGTTTCCTCTTCGTCCACATCCCCAGTATCCTTCACAGTCTTTATACAGGTAATAGAATGTATCCGTCAGTTTCTCCAATGTGTGACAGATGTAATATGACGCAGGGTACACTGTCCCATGCTTTTTGGACTTGCTCCTCATTAGCAAACTTCTGGTCCAAAATATTTGACTGGTACTCCAAAGCATATCAGAGGCCCATCCAACCCGAGGCTGGACTTGCCATTTTCGGCTGCTCTCAAGCAACGAGGACAATTCCAACTATAATGCGGCAACCATTGGAACTGGGAATGATAGTTGCCAAGAGACTGATATTGAGGGAATGGAAGTCCCCCACCCCTCCTTCCTTTCAGACATGGGTCATTGACATGCTATCCATAATACAAATGGAAAAACTCCGCACTAGTCAAATGGACACATTTTTCCGTTCTTGGAACCCATTCCTAACTCATTTTGAAAGAGTTAAATTACAGTAAACTAACTGTGTTCCTGTGTTAACAACTTTTCCTGCTACCGCTGTGTTAAACATGACTGTAACAACTGGCAATTGCTGCATCTGAGCCCTGTTTGTTTGTTTTTGTTTGTTTGTCTGTCTGTTTAAAAAAAAAATAATAATAATATAAAAAAAAAAAGAAAAAAGAATGCAACGGGAGACCATAGGGAACTCTGTAGATCCTTCTATGGTCCTCTGAAAAGGAGTTCCAGTTTACCACACCTGATGACAAAAGAAGTATGTGTAAAACATGTTTGCATTTTTTTCTTTTTTTAATACGAAATTTTCTGGTAGCAGTGTGTCTTCAGTATTAATTTTATTAGTGGTGTGCCTCCACAATATTTTTTTTAGCAATTAAAAGAAACACTTATTGCCTAAAACAAAAAGCATTAGTCTAGTGTAGATTATATTATGATGATTAAAATAATTTTAGCACTAGAACCTTGACTTGAATCACAACTTAGGCCCAGACATAGATAAATGGACAACTAAGAATCTTGCATTATTCTGAATGCAGCGATGTGTGGGATATGTGTGGGATATATGTGGGGGGAAATAACGTTAGGCCTACACGTTGAATGTTACAGATTGGGCTCCCAAATTACCCTAATGTTTACCCTTAACTTTAATTAATAAAGAACACGTTAAACATCAGTTCAAACAACCAACTGATATTATTTCCTTAGCCTAACGCTAAACTAATTTTATTCTACATTTTAGTTCGACACGGGTACCAAGGCAACGTTCCGACGAATTTAGTGATTCATTGGGCTAGCTAGCTTCTTATTTTTTTCTTATTGCCCGCCAATAGTGATCCATGAAGGCATGCCTTCACGTGCTATCAGAAATTAGATATTTATAACTTCTGAAATCGTAATTACGAGCTCATTAAATTCAAGTTCGAAATGGGAGGGTGTTCCTGCAACGTTAAAACATGTTTTAACAAGGAACTCATTACAACAAGGCAACATTAACTTATTAGACCGTAAAAAACTATTGCTACTTAACTTTAAAAGAGGACAGATAAGTTTTAATAGATTATCAACTCTAGAAACAATACCAAAATGTGTATGAAAATGACGGACACATTTAATTTTAAACGGTTATCTGTGGAAAATATTCTTACCGTTGTCTCTAAACGAACTGCCATCTTGCCACTGATCTATCAGTGCATCTTGCCAACTAGCCTACATCTTGTTCTGACATATCGCGTGGTTCGGTGTGATTTGGACAACTTCAAGTTACGCCCCTCTCTTGCAGTCCGCAGACAGACCCATCTCACCCACAGTGGCAGCTGGCACACCTAAAAATAGTCCAGAATAATTTTTTAAGTCTTGATAATCTGAGCTCCCTGAGAGCAGCACATATCCCAGGCATCCTCAACACGGGTGTGGATATGCTGTCACGGGGCAACACTCCTCTAGGCGAGTGGTCCCTGAATCCTCAGACGGCGCACCTGATATGGAAAGTGTTTGGTGAGGCTGAAGTCGACCTCTTTGCCTCGAAGAACAACATTCATTGCACAGTTTTCTTCTCGAAAAGCAGGGATGCGTTGGCCCATTGTTGGCCCAACCGCCCCCTTTATGCATTTCCCCCCGTCTCAGTGATACCCCAGGTTATCGAGGGGGTCAGGGAGAGCAATCTTGTAATCTTTTCACAAAACTGACAAAACCTTGTCAAACAGTCAAAATCCATCAACATGAGCTACTTTCTGACATTCTAACTGAAAGTGGGTGAATATCAAAATACATGATAGAAACATTTTGTTAAACCACTTACAAGTGTTATGTTGACAACACTATTGAAACAATTACTTTTTATTACAACCTTACATGAATAAATAGGCCATTTGGCCCTGGACTAATAGGGTATTCTATTTGTCCATTCTATTGGCTCTATTCTATTTTGAAGACTTGTGCTGGCTCACAAATAAATAGTATGGGTATATTATACATTTTCTGAGTCATCAGAGTGCCTTGAGTATTGAAGTTGTTGAGTTTTGTGTCCCTGGTGTTCTTTCATGCCACAAGGATAAAAGAAAGCATACAGTTTAGGCGGAAATTGTGAAATAATGTGTGTTATTTCGGGTTTAAAGAAGTAATGTGACCTCTGTGTTTGTCAGACAGATTCAGTACTGGGCTTAAATGAAAGCCTAAAAGGTCCCCTTTCCAACGATACCAAGCACCATAGAATATTGACAATATCCCTAGCATGAGCCTAAACCAGATATACACCAGATTTCAAAAACGGAATTTATTTTAGGGGGTTAGTAACTTCATTAGCTGAAAAAAGTGATTTCGCTACCACCCCTGCACTGCTATCGTGATTTTTCTACTACTAGGGGTGTATACCTTGCTAAAAAACAATGATAGGATTTGTCCCCCCGATGATACCGATCAACCCCTCTGGCTCATGGACTAATACTGGCAATGATGTTGTGTCATTAAGAGCTTTCTTCATTGAAAATGATCAGCATCATGGGATTAAACAATTGAAGAACAAAACAATAAAATAAGAGGCAGAGGCAAGCACAACATACTGATAATTTTGTCAGCACAACATACTCTCCCTGCACTGCTATTTTAATGAAAACTATGGAAAACTTCACAGATCTTCACAGATAAAAAAAAACAAAAAAAAACAAGACATGTAAATATGTATGTTTGTGTACATACAGGTATGTTTTTAACTACTTGTTTTCTAAATAGAGAAGTCATGAGACATATAGCTTTAAAATTGTTTAAAGGAAATGTCTTCAAAAGGTCTTTATATGGTAAAAGCTTAACCACCGTTTCATGAATATGTCTGAAGGCTATTGTTATTGATTGACCTGAAGGCACTTCATTTGTTCAATAAATTCTGTAATTGTAAAACATATTTTTGTTTTCTTTTAAGATTTTGAGAAGTTTAAATAGTTTAGAACATTTTATACATGGCTAACTTGTATGTAGATTAGATTGTATGGATTAAAATAACTTGCTCTTTAAATGGTTCTAAATTGAGTATATCAAGCAGGGCATATTTAAATTCTTTGCAATTTCTTTTTGCAAAAAATCATAATCCTAAACTGACTGGCTAAATCTCACACTTATTTTTATAGGACAATTATTTCAGTACATATGGTGAGTTTATGTATGACATTTAAAGCAACTTGCAGTTTAAATTTACTTGAGAACTAAAGTAAAAGGGTTAGTTCACCCAAAAATTTTAATTCTGTCATTTACTCACCCTCATGTCGTTCCAAACCCGTAAGACTTCCGTTCATCTTCGGAACACAAAAGAAGATAGTCTTAACCCTTGTGTTATGTTGCGGGTCAATTTGACCCGTTTCGATTTTCAAGTTGTTGGAAATACTGGTTAACCTTTGTTTTTTTTCTTGATATTTTGTGACTTTTTCTCATTTATCATGATGAACATGCATGCAAAGTTTCAACATGCTGATGTGTTTTGACATATACAAACAAAATTACTGTTACGTTCGTGATGTTTGCGGGTCAATTTGACCCTCATAGACAACCATTCAAAAGCAACTGTACAGACACAAAATAAAAACATTTATTTTCTGTATGTCAGGGCACTTCAACTCCAGTTCTAACGTGCAAGTGGATCTAAAAGTGCTCTAACCCTAACCAAACACACTTGAAAAAGCTAAAATTACAGTGTTCAGAATTATTTGCAAATTACAGATGAAAATCTTTGTCAGACACAGATAGTAAAATAAGCTCTCATTTCAATATTCAAAATATCTAAAATACCTAGCTTTTAACCAAAACTTTTATGTAGGATTTTCAAAGGAAGCTTCACAGAGCCAAAAAATAAATAAAAAACATTTATTTGATGTATGTTTTTGTTATGTTTGGTTTCTCACTTCCCAGTGAGTGAATAATGAAACTAGGAAAATAGGTCTTAGGAAACTAGGGAAAGTTAACTTAGGAAAATGAAAAAATTTCATTATACAGCAATTTTTTTTTTGTTCAGTTACGATGTTCAAAGTGTAAAATGTAAAAAAAAAAGTTAAAAAAAATTTATGCAAAAAAATCACTATACTGTTTATTTTCCAATTTTTTCAAAACAAAACTGTTTTAAAAAATGTTTTAAAAACATTTTCATACATCATATTTTCAGATATCATGTTTTTGTAATGTTTGACAAATGTTGATATTAAAAGTTTACAGTTTGTATCTAAATCTTTGTTGTTTTTCATAGTGTGATTTTTGAGGAATTGTATTGAATCCAATTAGGGTCAATTTGACCCGGTCCATAAGGGGTGTACACAGAAATCGAACAGAACTTTAATGAAATCTAAGAAATTTCTGTCCCTCCATTGATGGTCTACAGAACTACCACTTTGATGCTTCAAAAAGTTTGTGACGAGATTGAAACCTAATCCATATGAATTGACCGGTTTAGTCCAAATTTTCTGAAGAGATGTGATCGCTTTATATGACAAACAGACTGAATTTAGGCTTTTGTTCACATATAAACAGTCATCACACACATTGGTTATGGTAAATGGAGGCTCAACCATGCTTCATAAGTCAAGTCAATGTAACCTGCAATGAAACTGCTGAAAAATCCCCACCAATAACACACAGACCATTTCTCAAGATCAGGTACACTAATATTATTTATATAAAATATTATTTATTGATCTAAACATCCATTGGATCTACAATCCACTATTGATCTGTGACATCCAGTGCAGGATCCTTTGGAGAGCGCCGTGGCAGAAGCAGCTTTCACGGGAACTTCACGGGTGGCTCAGAGAGGAATTCTGACATTCCTCTTAATGTCTTATTCTGTGACCTGAAACAAACAAACAAAAAATCTTTAAAATGAAAAGTGAATATATCTTCAAAATCATTTGTAGCTGATCTTAGGCTCATTACCTTAAACCATTCATGTTGAAGGATTTTCCTCAAACAAATCCGTTGTCGTGGACTATCCTTCAGGAGGGACCGAATCAGGAGGCAGCATTCTGTGCAGAACGATAGAAGTGAGTCAGATTATTACCTTATACCCCTGCTGCCTTTGTATTAAGCTGTAAGATTCGACTATTCAATACTGTATGGTCAGAAAATCAGGAAAAATTCGTGTCTTGTATTATCCACATTATCTATCTTTTAGAAAGCCACTTGGCTCAGGTGTTACTTTTTCCTTGTTTCTTTGTTTTGTATGATTTAAATTACAGTTGGTCTTCTTTGTTGTAATGAATGCCATCTTACCGTTTGACAAGCCAGGCTCAGACCAGATGTCATCATCAATCATCTGCCGGTCTCTTGGTTCTGGAAAGCGTCCACACACCAACAGGAATAAGAGCACTCCCAGAGACCACACAGTAGCTGGTTTACCGTGGTACTCGCCCTCCGCGCAGTACTCAGGCGGGCGGTATTTTAGAGTGCCTGCAGGAAAAAGATTTGTCTGATGGGTAAGTACCATAGCATGTTTTCTCGGTAAAAACATCTGGTGTTTTTAATTAAAAAGAATGCTGCCTCAAAAGTGATATATGGTTTATATGATACCAATTTAACTAGTCACTAGAACTTAAGTCCCAAACTACAGGTTTGATTCATAATTCATACCACAGAATCTTTCATAGCCAGATTCCTGCAGGAGATCCCCGCACCCGAAGTCAATTAGTTTGACCTCAAGCGTGTCTGTGTTGATTAGCAGGTTCTCCAGCTTAATATCACGGTGAAACACTCCACGGCGACAGCACATATGAGCAGCCATTGTTGTCTGCGCAAAAATAAATCGTGCTGTGTCCTCATTTAGGATGCCTCTGTGACAAGTCCAAAACCTCCACAGATCTTTACAAGGCGAGGGACGCTCCAAGACCATGATATATTGGTCAGGCTGGTCCTGCCAGTCCAGCAGCTCGATGATCTCTGAAACTTTAGGGCCCCTATTAGCAAGGACTAAAAGGCCGATCTCTAATGGCAAGGGTGCGGGATGACCAGGCTGGAAGAAAGATCATTGTTATTTGAAGGTGTTGTCATTATGTTAACATGTTTTAATTTGAAAACAGTGAAAAAACAGCATAGCGAGTGTAGCTTACTTACAATGTATATGTATTTCATGTTCTTCGGCTTTCTGGCAATTTTCACTGCCACCTGATCAACCAAAAAAAAAATAGTTTTGTTCCATTTCTAACATGTCAAAAGCAGAAAATAAGAGAAGAAATACACACTAAAAGACTTGAAATGGATATAGTGAGACAAAACAATTTGTTGGCTAAATATTGTAAGAAAATAAATGACAGGAACATCTGTCTGTCTGTCTGTTATTCGCATATCTCTCGAACCTTTAGTCTGATTGATTTTGACAGGTGTCTTGCTACGGGCACGAGTAAGTGCAGTGCCAAGATTGACGTTGTTTGGATTAGAAATGCAAAAGATGTCGGTAAATATATCGGTAAAAGAAGCACTTAGAGGGTTGTGGTTTAAAAAGAAACATTCTGACATAAACACTCTGTCAGCTAAACATTACGGTTTACTTCTGAATATTATATTTTATTCACGGCCATCATTTGTAGTTTCGGAGTTCACTGTGTCACTGCTCCCTGAATCGTGTACTTCAATTTTCCACATTTATTGTATGTCATTATATCAGTATTTGCTTTCTACCATACACAAATAAAAATGTCACTGAACTTTTGTTGTGTAATTGTAACAACATTTTGGTGTGCTTTGGTGACACTCAAACACACCAAACCAATAATTACTAAAATTACAGGCACTTTGCACTAGTTGTAAGAAAATGACGATACCTCAAGGCCATCCTCCAAGCGTTTCCCTTCATAAACAGAGCCAAATCCACCCTTACCAAGCATTCTGCCCATTTCATACCGGCTCAAAATGTTGTCTGTAAAAAGATTATTCATTTTAGTTGCATGGAGAGCAGTGAGTTTAATGTTTGAGGTTATGGCCGTGAACTCACCCTCAGTGGTCACGTCTACTCGGTTGTTGTGACCCGGTGCTGGACTGGGATGGACTGGAGCTGGAGGGGTTTGAACCTGCTGATCTTCAAGACCACTGGATAAAGCTTCCTGAAGACCATGATCCTCTAGAGCACAGGCACTGTACTGTAGAGCGTTTTGATCTAAAAGCAGGGACATGGCTTTGATCAAACTTTTGGATTTTGATATTGGTGTGATGGTGTTAATTTGCAGTGGTATCTTGGTCTGAGCTACCTCTCCGGTCACAGTAATGAAGAGATGGCAGCTTCTCAAAACTATCCATCCTCCTCCTCTTTCTCATTGGCCTCTCATTTTCCTCACCAACAGGCTGATGGTTTTCAGCCGCATCGGTGCTGGATGTTGTTGAGGATGTGCTCTGATGGGAGTCGCACACCTGAGCACTGCGAGAACTTTGTTTTCGCTTTCGGCCAATGATAAAAGTAGTCCGCTTGGTTTCATCTGTGTTTAAAGATATATGACATGTCCTTGGAATAAAAATCTGATCATGGCCTTGATCTAACTTCAACTGATTTCTGATCAAATGTGTGATGGTGTGGATTCTTAACAAATTGTAATGAATGACACTGGGTTCCCATTAATGGATACTCATATCTAGCTGAAAATGATGTAGACTTCCTGATGTACAGAGCACTAATACACATAGATAGAGCATTTACACATTCTCAACTGGTCATTGGATTTACCCTCAGCGTGTCTCTCACTAGTGGTTGCAGTGGTCTGATCCTCCACTTTCTGACCCTGACCTGAGCTACTGCTCCAGTGAAGAGTGAGGAGCTCTCCAAAACTACTCTTCTTCCTCTGTCTCTCCTGACTATCACTTTCCTCATTAACAGGCTGATGATATATATAGAGCACATGGAAGAAGAGATTTGACCTTGATTTCTTCCCATATCACAATAAACAAAGAACATTTCAAACAAATGCACAAAAAGGTGACAAAACTATCCAAATATGAATATATATTTAAATTAATTTGTAGCTTATTGGGGCCAATACCTGAAACCAGTAATGGAAAGGTGCTGGACTGTGGTGCATTGGAGCTGAAGGGGTTTGAACCTGCTGGTCTGCAGGAGGAAGGACTTCAAGACCACTGGATAGAGGTTCCTGAAGACCATGATCCTCTAGAGCACAGAGAGAATCTAAAGCAGGGAATATCAAACAAAAGCATGTTTCAATCAAATAATAATACTTATTAAACATTGGATACTCATATTATGGCTAATTCGTCCGTTAAAATATTACATTTTTGTCAACTTTTATAGTTTTTTAAACAATCCTTGTTTAAATATTCATGACATGTCTTGTCAAACTTCAGTGGTATTTTGATATAATATGGTGTGGTAATGTGGTAACTAATGACTCTTCGGTGATATTCTCCAATAGTCATTTGATTTACCCTCAACACTTCTCTCATTTATCGGTGCAGTATTCTGGTCTGAGATGGTGCCGCTCCAATCACAGTAACGAAGCCTCACAGACCTATCCATCCTCCTCCTCTTTCTCTTCGGCATCTCATTTTCCTCACCAGCAGCACTAACGGGTTGATGGTTTTCATCCGCATCGGTGCTCTGAAGGGATTCGTACACCTGAGCGCTAGAACTAAGCTTTCTCTTCAGTGCCATGATAACAGTTGTCCACTTGGGTAACTCTATCATATGAACTGCAGAATAAGCAATGAGAAGACTGAGAAAACTGACAGTATAAGGCGTCCCACAACGTTCTATTTCTTTATGGCGTCATCGCATTCCTGAGTGACACTTTTCGAATGCGCGCGCGTGACATTGTTCACAGCTGAGAAAAGGCTTGTTTTATATTCTTACCTCAATTATTTGTTATGTAGGCTATATTTAGGAAATGTTTCTATTCATAGGCGGAGCGTGTGTAAGGCTGGGGAAGGATAATGCTACGGATAATCCTTAATAAAAAAATAACTAGGGCTTTGGGCAAAAATGCACCTGCACAAAACTAAATCTTGTATAGTGAAAATGGAAATTAAATGAAACAGCGTTAAATGAGCATTGTAGCCAATCACAAACATACCTGATGATTTCTTAAACGCAATGGCCAATCCGATTTAAGTTAGAATCCCATCGCCACTAACTAAACCCTCGAGTTTTGTTCCCCAGTGAGTGCTCGAGATCTGCACAGTTCAAACTCAAATCCTCTCGTTATAATTTAACTTGTAAAAAAAAGTGTAGACTTTATGTAGGCTAAATATATTTATTGTACAGTCAGCTTAATCGATTTAGAACTTTGTGAGATCGCAATGAAGATGAGTGACACGTTAGTGATTAAGGGAGTGCTTTTATGCACGCTTTCCAGGCGATAATCCATTCATAATTTGAAGGGAAAAAAACGTATGTTTTACTGCATTAGGTAAGGCAATAGGCTATGTTAGAGATAGGCAGAGTCTGGGTTTATTGCACATTAATCTGACAATAAATGTGGCACACCCAGTTTTTCTTATGCACACCCAGTCAGGACCCTGCATCAGTTACCACCACCCACCGTCAGTGTCGTCTGATTAATAATCATCATATAATCCTTCGCCATAGTAGTGTAAATGCCCTGCATGGTTGAGGTGAAGTCTGTCTCTTCACCGCTGGATGGCACATACTAGTACTACTCCCTCTTCTCCTCCTCCTACTCCTCCTCCTCACTTCATTGCGCAGTTTGGATCATGTTTATCAAGCGCTCCACTTTTCCCACGCGCCTATTTGCGGGATTTTGCGCGTTTCGTGGGAAATTGGTATAACACTGTACAAGGAAGAGTTCAAGTGACCGTGTTCTGTGTGTGAGGTAGGTTTGAATGAATATTAACATAGTTTTACTTTGTTTGCTTCGTTTTTGTGTGTGTCTGTGCTTCACTGCTGTTTTAAACCGCTGTTTCCATACAATAATAACTTCGGGATGTTAGGAGCATACGAGAGCTGTTTGTTAAGAGGATATCTCTATTGAATAACAATCAGGCTGACGTGCTGTGGTTGCTGGGACAATCCTTCTCAAGAATGCGCTGGACAGAGCACTAACACACACACACACACACACACACACACACACACACACACACACACACACACACACACACACACACACACACACACACACACACACACACACACACACACACACACACACACACACACACTCCTGACTGAAAACGTTGTCGGTTAAAAAAACAAAACAAAACTAAAAAACATTATTTACTTTATTTTTTTAAACAAATGATTTTGTGTGTGTGTGTGTGTGTATCAGATTTTGCTCACTTTTGGGTATGGTTAAGTAGCCTAGTTACCACTTCTGACCTCTATTGTTTTAAATGACATTAATGATGAAATGCAGCTCATCCAGGACAAACTTTGGCATTTAAAAAACATTATCAACTCTATTTATGATGAAGCATTTTCTTTTCGAGCACAAACTACACACAAATCTGGTTGTATGCTTCATGATACAACCATAACATTCCCTTCCCCATTCACCATGGTAACCAACACACCATGAAACCACTGCTTAAAATACAGTACTTGCTGTACCAAAATAATATCATAATATACAATAATGTACTATATTAATATATTTTACTGCATGGTATCAGCCACCAAGTTTATTTATAAATGTAATTTATTATGATTTTACATTAGGAACGATGATTACAGTCTTAAAAAGGAAGGTTCTTTATTGGCATCGATGGTTCCATGAAGAAACTTTAACATCCATGAAACTTTTCCTTTCCTTTCCAGTTTTCAGTAAATGTCTGGCTAAGGTCATAAACACTTTATTTTACATGTCAAATCTGGTGCTCTTTTAAAGTAAACTCATCCACAGCCTTGTTCAGTTATGAGTTAAGAGTTGAGGCATTTAGTGACTGTAGTGTCTTAAATGCTTTGGGAGACCCTACATTGCTTTCATAAATAGCCTTCATCTTTATCATTATCATTTTTCCCTGAGATTGTTTGTCTTAAACCCTTTGTGTGACGGAGGGGTTTGTGGCTCAGATAAAGGGTGTGGTGATATCATTCAGACTCTGTTTCTGGTATTGGTCTTCTAAAGTACATATCTTATAACCCATTTGAAACCCATCAAGTGTTTACTTTGTAAAACTCATAAATTACCACCACCATCATCATCATCATCATTATTATTATTATTTGCTGTAAAATATGAGAGACACAGATCTTCAAATCATTTTGCTTAAGTTTCAAATGGTTTTGAAACGAAAAATATTAAGTGATTTTCATAGTGTCTCACCATAGAAATGAATATTACTCCATATTATTTACATATTTCAGCATATCATGTCCTTTAGGCCGCCTTAATGCCTTAATGGATGAAAATAACACCAACCACAAATATAATATTCATTAATATATACTAGTTGGTTCTCACAGAAACATGCCGTCGTCATATTTCACCCAAAAAAAGGATGGATGGATGGATAGAATTAAAAAAGTAAATCATATTTTGCATAACTTTAAATTATATGGAACTGAGTTTAATTGACATGGAAACAAAGTCAGAAAATTGTCTTACATTTTGAAATATGAGATGAACATGTTCTTGACAGGTTTCGTGAGATTCACCCTTTTTTTTTGGGGGGGGGGGGGGGATAAAACTAAATAATTTAATAGATCTACTCTATGCCTCTGAGCAACACAAACTCCAGACATTTCCTGGCAAGAACATGGGTCCCCCCTCCAGTCCTCTGAATAGAGCTGAAAAACGAAACTCTTGCTGTACGTCGCCACAAGGAGAAAGCATTATGACTAACCATCACGGGTATAAGGTTTCAAACGGGGAAATAATCAAGACCTCTTAGGAAAAGGTGTCTAGAATAGCCGTCCCCACAAGACAGAATAATTGAGGGTTTAAACAGTATTTTAAATATGATAATATGGCACTCTGTAGAGTTAAATGATTTCCAGGGCTTTTAGCTGTTGCTCGCAGAGAATGATGTCATGATTAAATTCGATAAGTGCACTTTTACGCTCTTCACCTTCCTCTACATCATACTCGTGTTTCTCTCTCACAGGAGCATAACAACGTTTACTGGTGTTCAGATGCGTGTGTGATGTCTCTGTCGGTGTTATGAAGAGGAATCTGATTAGCGGAGTTGACATGTGGGTGATGAGTGAGAGATGACGGAGGGCTGTGCGACTGTTGATGGACAAACTGTCTATCAGCTATAGACAAGCACTATCTTGCACAGATGCTGAAGAGAGATAGCGTTAGGGGTGAGCGGGGCACAACCTCACGCGGAGTGGTAGTAACACACTTGTTTTAAAGGGGTGGTTGATGATGATTTCACTTTTCTAACTTTAGTTAGTGTGTAATGTTGCTGTTTGAGCATAAACAACATCTGCAAAGTTACGACGCTCAAAGTTCAAAGCAAAGGGAGATATTTGCTTTTAAAGAAATCGTTTTTTAAGGACTACAACAAACGGCTGGTAGGGACTACAGGACATTCCTCCCAGGTTAGTGACATCACTAACCCTAAAATTTGCATAAACCCCGCCCCCGGGAACGCGATTTATAGATTATCATGACAGAATATGCTAATCAGTGACTAGAAGATAACTACACATAAGCTACATAAATTCATCAACTAACCATTCAGAGACGTCCTGTTGCATTCTACTAGCCTGGGAAAACCCAGACAACTTCCGGCAAATTTGGATTTGCTCTGAAAGTTAGTCTGGCAAAGAGCGCATTCAAGCTCATTTCCAATCCGCCGAAATCGAGGCACCAATCAGAAGCGTTGGGGCGGGCTTTACACGATGACGACAGCGCTGGGATTTTGAAGCAGATTTTGTAGCCTACATTACAAAGATGGATGCCGCCGTCGAACATCACTCGTTCCAATCAGCCATCGCGTCTGTTTTAAGCCATTTAAACGTTTCCTTTTAGTTAAAAACCGAGCAAAGACCAACACTCGGAGATGTTTCTCCACCGCTCTGCATACGTCATCTCCTTCATCGCTCTGATTGGGTTTAGGTCTATCCGCGACGTCCGTTGGTGACGCCCCTCTGGAAATGATTTGTCTATGACGCTTTACCAGACCATAACTCAGTTACAACTGAGAATGCTCTGGTTTTAACCAGGCTAGCATTCTACATGTTGTCACTTCTTCTCGAGTCTCTCCATCATTGTCTGACTCCGGTTTGAACATAAAAGGCTAAAAGTTTTTGAAATTTTCAGTGCATGTCTGCGTGAGGTAAAAGGACACGAGTTGTTGTAGCTCCGCCCTCTTCTTGAAAGGGAGCAGCAGCTCATTTGCATTTAAAGGGACAGACAAAAACGGTCGAAAAGTGACAACTTTAACATGCTATATAAAAATATCTGTGGGGTATTTTGAGGTAAAACTTCACATACACACTCTGGGGACATCAAAGACTTATTTTACATCTTGTGAAAAGGGCGTTATACCACCCCTTTAAATACTTCCTCACATGCCAGCATGACCAAACTTAGTGCATTTACTAGTTGCCATATCAACACTATATAGAGAAAAAAATTGCGCCAAAATAATGAAATGTTTGGAAGATTTCACTGAACATTTATTTAATCATTGGAAAAGTTAATTTCTTAGATTAATTTTTCATCTCTGTTTTTTGTGTTTATTTCAAATGAGACAAATCTGGTATTATTTTAATCTCCAATCTGTTATTTAGCAGTTGATATAGCTGCTATATATGCCGTATAGCTTTTCTTTTTTTTTCGTATAGCAGTTTGTTGTCAAACTGGAAAATGTTTATTTTTAATTGTTAAAAAATTACATTATTTTATATGAAAAAGATAAGAATTGTATTTTATTGAGGAAATATTTTAGTTTGTCTTGTTTATTTTTTTGATTAGATGAGATAACATTATAATCTGTCATATGGTCATGTTACAATGTTACCCCACCTATGGGGCATGTTGTCACATTTCACTTCCATTCTTTCGGGGTAAAAAAAGTATACACTGTATTAATTAAACAAAACCACATGATTGTACTAGACGTGTGAAATTAATGTGGGAATAAATAAAAACTCTGAACCCTAAGTGGATTTACACAAACTGAGGAAGTCGAGAAGTGTTAGGTTGTGCACCGCTCTCCCTTACTGTTATTTTCTTTATGACCTCTAGAGATGTTGTAATCATATTCCATGATTGCAAATTTACAAATAAGTACACTGTAAAGTGTGATTAGTTGAGTTTACTTTAAAAAAGCCAGAAAAAGAATTGCTTTAGGAAAATTAAGAGAATAAGCTTCACTGCAATTATAGAAAAGAATTGTTTGGTATATAAACAGTTTTCCATTCAAACTTCAATCCCATTTTCTGATCTCTCACGATGCGGGAACCCCGTTGCCCATGCAGACATGCAGTATGCATCCAGTATACTGACTGGTTTATGTGCTCTTGAGTCTGTTGTCACTGTTAGTAAATAGTTTTGTTACTAAAAGTGTTCTTTGTGTTTGGAACACATGCTGGAGATCGCATGAACCGTTCTCCGCATGAACTCTTGAAGAGTTCATAAAACGGCGTTCACATCATCCAAACGAACCTGGATGCGCTTCAGAAGGGCTAGTGTGAATGAACATTTAATCAACATCAACACTCACAAACTCAGAGACTAGAGCCTCATTCTTCCAAAGAAGTCAAACGACCAAATTCAGTGGCTAGTTGCATGGGTTGCTTAGAGTCTTAAAAGTTAGTCTTCTCATTTTTTGGTCCTGAGTCTCATTCAAGTCTAATTTGAATTGGAAAAAGTAAGACGGATTACCTTTTATCTGACTGCTAGTTGGTCAAACTAAA